GGGGGGGTTTGATGCCATCAGTGACATGGTGCTTTCAAATTTGCCTGGAATTTCACTGCTCTGGGGTTTGGAGGTGCACATATTTAAAGTACTATTAAACTTTTTTTTTCAAGAATGTATCCAGATCAAGCAAATACACTGCCCAGCAAAGTATTTTACATTTTTGCCCAATATGCTAAGGGCTAGTTCACATCACAAACAGTGCCTTCTGGCCCAATTTGGTGTCGGAATGCACTGGATCGCATCCCTGCACGGCTCTCTGCATTCAGGGGTGGGAGTGGCTGTTGCGGTGGATTAAAGTCAATGGCACCGTAGCCACGCCCCCCGGCCATAGTGTCATCGCCCACATCCGAACGCGTGGCACATCAATCCCGGTCCAGTCAGATAAAAATACATGCATTTTTTCTAACCGCACTGGACCGGAACAGTGGCTGATGTGCCACTCGTTTATTTGCGGGCAATCGCGCTGCGGCTGGTAGGTGTGGCTGCTGTTACCATTGACTTTAATGCACTGCCATGCCCCTACCGCCCCTGAACGCAGAGAGCCAGCCGGGATTGAATCCAGTGCGTTCTGGCACCAAATTGGGCCGGAATGCACTGTGTGTGGTGTCAACTAGCCCTTACAGTCATCATGTTTCCAAACAGCTCCAACTCACCAACTCCAAAGATCACAAGGAACAGAGCAGTCTCAAGCAGTTGTCCATCTACTAGCTTGAGGAATGGAGAAGAGAGAAGGAGAGAGCAGGGAGGAGGGAGCAGGGGAATGTCTTGCCATGCTGTGCCTGTGTGTTCCTGTATGTCCCGACACACTCCTGACCAACAAATCCAAAGAGTCTATGGAGGATTCTACAGTGACATACTGAGAATAGCGCCGTACTTGAAAACACAAATGAAGAAGAGTCACAAGCACTCGGACTGTGATGCAACCACAGCTTTTATTGACGCAAGTTCATATTATCACAAAGCAAATGTTTCGGGGGCCACATAGGGTCCCTTCATCAGGCAAACAATGTGATGTGATGCATTGTTTGCCTGATGAAAGGACTTCTTGTGGCCCTGAAACATTTTTTGTTTTGTTGTAATATGAACTTTCATCAATAAAAGACTTGGTTTCATCACAGCTGGAGTGCCTGTGACTCTTCTCCTTATTGTGTGTTTGTGTAGACACACAGAGCTTACTAGCACACACAGGGGTGGCTCTGTAGGACCCTGCAAGAGAAAGGAGCCACTATAAAACAGGATCTCAGGACACCAGCTGATTCTGCAGGAAACTAAAACTTTTAAACATCAAGGAGCATTTAAAATTTCATCAGCATTTGAAATAGAGTAAAAACCTTTTGACTTCAGTATCACTTTAGACATAGTAGTGTCCATTCAGTGTGAAGGACCCATTGTCAAGTACACAGTCATAAAGGTTATCAAACATATCAAGTAACAGTGAACAGTTTTCTGAGTAAAATGTTGAAGGTGTACCCAGTAATGTATATACAGTAAACAGAGGCTACTTTCTCTGACCTCACATGAAGGTCAAAGTGTGAAGTCACAGCAATCTATAATAGCAGCTTGCTGAAGCATGGAGATCTAGACTCACTGTCAGGGTTCACTGATTATACTGTATGGATTGCTTTTGTACTTGCTGACCGATGCTGTATCACAATTTATATTGATTTGTGTTGGCTTAAAACATTCAGGCGTGTGCAGGGTCATGTTAGAAAATGCTGCTCGTCCCACATATAACTGGGTATCTGAGCTTTGTTCATACATTACCGATGGCTGTAACACAAGCCCCTAGTCCATTACTGGGGAGCTCAGTGTGTGGGCCAACCTAAGATATTCACAAGAATATTCAAGCTAATAATCTCAATACAAATGAGTAAACTAAACGTGAGATTGTAGTCCATCATGTGAGTGAGCTTGGGGTGGAGGCTACTTTACAACACACACAGGGACCATAAGGAACAAAAATAGGCACCCTCCAGAAGGAAGGACAGTATCAGCAGCAATTCAGAGATGATTTGAGGATCTACAGCCGAGTGATACACAAATAAGTTAAAACATTTTTAATAGTTTGGGTACTTGAATGCATTTTTAGGATTTAACTCGTGAGTTTAGTGTCACTTTAATGTCTTTTATATGTAGATTTTACATTTATAAAATATATTATTCATGTTAAAACAGAGTACGATCAAAATTGACCTTTTCGCTTTAAAATGACTCCTTTGCTTTTGTCTATCTGAGTTTATGTGTGGAAGTCCTTCACTGCAATACATTCTTTCTTGCAGCCTGTCATAATACAAAGTACTGTATGATAATCTTTAAATCATTCAAATGATAATGCTCCCTTGTAATCTTCAACATCAGTACGCCTTTAAATGCCCCTTTTCTACATATAGCTGCTTCTCTA